CCAACCACCACCCACGTCAGAAAAGAGGCATTATCAAAACCCTCATGGATCGTGCCAATCGAATCTGCGAGACCCAATTCCTAAACTCTGAACTTAACCACCTTAATGTCCTCCTGCCTGTGCTCCTGCACTCTGAAGATGCCAGTCACAGATGCTGGCGAAACGTTAGGAAACAAAACTTCAAGAACACGGACACACAGCCCGGAAGACCCACACCAGCCATTAAATTGTAAATCTTGCTATGTTTATGGCTAGTACCTTAATTCCATCTTAAAACATTTGCTGAGATAGCATTCAGCAACACCTATGAAAATAGTGTTTTTCCTCTTAAATGATCCAAAGTGGAATTGCTTTTGTTTTTGCAGTAAAGATGACCTGGAAATTCTTCTCTTTTTTTTTTTCCCAATTCATCATAATCCTAGATTGGGGTGAGCCACCTATTATAGAGAAAAATAAACGGGCCATTCTCCAATAGCTCTAAATGGACAGGTCATGTACAAGAAAACCAAGTTAATAAATCAGCATCCATGTCAGGACATTCTAGGATAGAGAAGTGATCAGTCAGCATTTTAAAAGACCACATAGGGAACAGAGTATCTTTTCATGTGCAAAAAAAATTTACCATGGACACATTGTGTTATGCATGTTTGTATGTCCGATAACCATCCTAATGCTAGTATCTGTTCCTATGAGACAGATACAAGAATTGTTACTAAATACTGTAAACTTTTCTCTTTATTTGTTGGCCTCAGTTCATCAGGCATGGAATCAATCCTTTACAACACCATCATTAGTTTAGGTAGGAATTTAACATTTTTGTCAAGTGAAAGCAGCACCAGACAGTGTATTAAGATAAAGTGGCTAGGTGTGTGATGCATATGGAGCTTGCTTGCTTGCTTGCTTGCTTGCTCGCTTGCTCATTCATTCATTCATTCATTCATTCATTCATTCATTCATTCATTCATTTTATGCGGCTGCCCATCTCACAATGGGTGGCTAAGGAAAATAAAATTCAACAGAAACAGTCCAATAACAATAACATAAAAAACCAACAACAATGTCAATAAAAATGCATGGAAAATGTACTGAAAGGCGACTGAGGGCAACAACAAGCAGTACTATGACACCCATCTCACGGGTCCCCTTAGCCTCCTGACATCCAGGTCCAGGAATACAGACATGCTTTTAAGGCTTTCCAGAATGCTAGCAGAGTCAGAGCCAGCCAGATCTCAGGGGGTGAGGGGTGGTGTATGGTGTCCAAGAAAGCAGGTGCTGCAACAGAAAAGACCTGCTTCCTAGGTCCTGTCACATGGCATTCCCTAATAGATGGGAGCTGGAGCATGCCTCTTCAGCTGGATCTAATGTGGTAGGTAGAAATTATTAGAGAAAGGTGGTCCTGCAAATAATCCAGCTGCATGCCATAAAGGGCTTTATGGGTGCCCAGCATCTTGAATTGTACCCAAACGTTTGCTGGAAGTCACTACAGCTATGGGAGCAGAGGTGTAACACAGGTATACCAAGGTGCAGTCAAAGCGACCAGGCATACATGACCATGACAGTGCTTCCCAATCCAGGAAAGGCACAATTGACACACTAGATGTAATTGTGAAAAAGCCCCCCTGGCCATGGTTATCACCTGTTCCTCAAACAGGAGCCATAAGTTCAAAAGAACTACCAAATTGTACATCAGTTCGGTCTGGAGCAGTGTCAACGAATCCAGAAGCAGAGATGATAGATTACCAGATCCAGGAGGCCCTATAACCCAAAGCCAATCAGTTTTGCTAGGGCTGAGTTTAAGCCTGTTCTTTCCCATCCAGACCCTTACAGTCTCCAAACACTGAGAAAGGACCTTAACAGCATCATATGGTTGGCCAGGGGCAGAGAGGTATAACTGGGTATCATCAGCATATTGATGATACTTCACCCCATGCCAGTACATGACATCACCCACTGGCTTCATATCAACTGGAACTGATGCTAGAGAAGGGAGGAGAACCACCACTCCTAACCACCTGAGCCAATCCAGAAGGATACCATGATTGATGATATAGAAAGCAAATGACAGGTCATGAAGAACAAGGATAAATTCACCAACCCCATTCCACTCCTGTCAGTGGACATCCTCAATCAATGTATGATCAACGCTATTTTGGTCC